CATTTTTATACTTGTACATGTCTTATGTGAGCTTTCACAGTCTTTGTGAGTTCATATCTATGTTAACCCTGTTGTGTCTGGAAGACACTATTTTGGAGTCATCCTCTTCCTCTTACTCTTTCTGTCTCTGATCTTCCACTTAGATTCCTCAGCCTTGAGGGGATGGATTTGATAAAGACATCCCATTTTAGGACTAAATTCTCTAAATCCTCTCACTTTCTGCCTATTGTCCAGCTGTGTGTATGTCTGTCAATTACAATTTGTTACTAGGAGAAGTTGCTGTGATGAGTTGAATAAAACATTGATTTTGGAGTAAAGCACTATGTCCTTTGAAGTCATTTTACTGCGATTTTCCTCTAGCAGTTTCATAGTAGTAGGTTTTTCATTAGATCCATAACCTGTCGAGTCTTGGACTCTTGGATACTTTAACAGTGTCATGTATGGGTTTCATCTCATAGAACAAGCTTAAAATCCAATCAGGAAGTGGTTGGTTGTTCCCACAATATTTATGCCACTGCTTCGTCATTATATTTTATATGCAGGCAACTTTTGTGGGTCACAGAGCATGTATCTAGGTGATGTTGGTGATTATTTTTCCCTTCCAGTAGAGTTCATAGAACCTTCTGGCACCACAAATGCTAATCAGTAAAAGTAAAGCATTGGCCATTAGTTTAATTTTTACATGTATGGTAACATATGTAAGTGGTATATTCAGAAAGAGGGCCTTACTGTTGCATTGTTGAAGGTAACCAATAGCCTTGAGAATAGCCTCTGATATTTAGGGAAGGAGTGTATGGCATATCTCTAATGAATGAGTTAACAAAATGGAACCTACTCTGAGCACTGAGTTTTATTTGGTAGCATAAGATGACTGGTTGAAATATTGTCTCCCTTTTAAATTCCCTATATGTATATATTTTAGGAAGCTTCTACAGTAGTAGGGTGCAATGTAACATTCAAAAATGCCTTTAGTGTTCGTTTCCCAACCCATATTCCATTTGTTATCCTATGCTTCCAAACCTTCCCCAGTTAATATTACCCGTTTCACATTTATTTCCTTAAAACACTATCTTTTATTTTTCTATGAAGTATACATATCTGAAGCTTCAACCATGTAAGAGAAAATATGCAATATTTTTCTTTTTGGATCTAAGTTACTTCACTCAAGATGTTTCTAGCTCCATTTATTTACTTGCAATTTTCACAATTTCATTGTTCTTAACAGCTGAATAATATTCCATCGCATAAATATAAGGAAGTCAGAGGTTGAGAAGACCTTCCAATATTCTCTGTGGTAAGGTGTAGAGAACTCTGGGTATCGCTGTCATAGACAGTGTTCTGATGCTGTGAAGAGACACCATGAGCATAGAAATGTTTGTAAAGAAAAACATTTAATTGATGCTTGTTTGCAGTTTCAAAGGTTTAGTCCATTGTTATCAAGCCAGGGAGCGTGGAAACATTCAGGCAGGCATGGCGCTAGGGAAGTACTTGAGAGTTCTACACTTGAATCTTCAGGCAGCCAAAACAGAAAACAGAACAGAACAGAACAGAACAGAACAGAACAGAACAGAACAGAA